CTGGACTGGATCAGACTGCTGTGCACTGGGAGTCTGACTGACGACAGTGTAAAATCTGGACTGGGTCAGACTGCATCGCACTGGGAGTCTGACTGACGACAGTGTAAAATCTGAACTGGATCAGACTGCTGCGCACTGGGAGACTGATTGCCTTTCCTGTTTAAGATCTCAGGAGTCTGTGCTGAGCTCGGCTTTTTTGTCTGTTAAAAACCACGACAGTGAGCCGCACGCAGTCGTTCGTCGAAGGCCGGGCTCTCTCCTTGGACAGCTGCTGGGTTTGATCGTACGTGTCTGTCTATGCGCAGGGGACCTGGGCGTGGCTGTGGCCATGCTGGAGGGCCCGGGCCCGGTCCAGGGAGTGGTGCGGTTCTTGCAGGTCTCGGAGGGGCTCTGTCTCATCGACGGGACCATCGACGGGCTGCGGCCGGGCCCCCACGGGCTGCACGTGCACGAGTTTGGGGACCTGACCCACGACTGCCTCAGGTACCCCAGTAAAGTCTTCCTCTCGGTGCTCTTCTGTAGGGCTGTGCGTCTCTCGCTTGTTGGCGCGACCCCATGACCCCATGACCCCATGACCCCGTGACCTCACAGAGAGGTGGCACAAGGAAGTGGGAGCAGACCACCCACCACCTTCTAGACCCCCATGTGTTGACACACGACCGGGGGTGCCCCCCCCCCATACTGGGGGATCAGTGCCGATGGGAGGCGAGGCCTGTCCCTTGGAGACACTATTGCAGGAGGTCATAAGGGGGCGCTGTACCCCCCTCTCAGTGCCACTCAGCCAGTCTGACAGAACACGGGCACGTCTGGTTACGCCCCCGTGACCCGGAACCGAATCGCTGCTCTGACTCCAAGTTCATCCACGAGCGGGTCCAGCCCTGTGGTCAGCAGGAGACCGGGACGGCAGAGCGCTGTGAGTCCAGGGTCCCCCGGAATCCGGGGCCCTCCGGGACTCACTGTGGCGCCGGGGTCCCCCGATCCCCCTTCTTTCCCTGCGGGGGGTGTGCCAGAGGGGAGATCCCCTTCTGAATCTGCGCCCCCCCCAAACTGGTGCAGTCCCCCCCCCAGTGCAGTCAGCCAGCGGCCTGCCCGCACACCACGGAGGGCAGTGATTTGCGATCGGCAGGTGTGCCCGCCACTTCAAGCTGGCCCGAGTCCCGCGCAGAGTGTGTGTGTGTGTGTGTGGGGGGTGTTAAAAATAGCCAGGGCCCCGGCGAAGGTGACGTTAACCCAGGATCACTGCTTTGGCCAAGAGCCCACCTGCAAAACCATTACAGCCCCCGGGGGAGACAGACCCTCCCGAGCTGCTGGAATGACAGCGCGCAGCCTGTACAGTACAGGCGTGCAGGCAGCTCAGGGGCAGGTCTGGCCACAC